TTTTGGCAACACCAAACAAATTGTCAACAATTGCCAACTTTTATGCGTATATACAAAGTTGAGCAGACGGTTTGTTCTTTTGGTTTAAAGGAGTCAAAACTTTGTGTACAAATTAAATCAAACACTTGTTTCCTCTCGCGAAAATTTTCGGTGCAGTAATTATCTTCTCTTTCGACCGCCTCCGTGGTCTAGTGGTAGAGCGTCCGCCCGGAGAACGGAAGGTCCGGGGTTCGATCACCGGCCGCGTCATACCAAAAGACGTTAAAAGATGGTACTTGTTGTTACCCAGTCTGGCGCTCGGCATTAAGGGGCTAAAACAAGGACTGGTGGGCTCGGAGTCAGTATACTGTGTCTGAGTGGGGTCTCCATGTTAAACTGCGGCATGGAATCTCAGTGTGCTAGCACTATAAATCGGCATCAGTCCGGACTAGTACAAGCAGCCACTCACACACACGTGCATGCACGTCGCTATATAAGTGCAATAATCTTGGACGCGACGTTAAACCCCATTTCACTTCACCTCACCTCTTCCCTTTCAACTTTGATTGGAAAACAACCTGTTTTGTGTTGAAAGTCGTGAACAGACTGACGAATATGTGTGCCTTACACAATTTACATACTTTATTTACACACCTAAGATGCTTTTCATGTGAACGCATAGCAAATTTACATATACGCACGTATGTATAGTTACACATGTGCAAAATTGCTTACGTTAGTAAATGTTGTGCATGTGAACGGGGTATTAGTGTAGTGGATAGAGGGTCTGGCGGAGAGTGGAAGGTCGGTGGGTCGATCCCCGCCCGCGTCATACCGAAAGTCGTTGAAAGGTGGTAATTGTTGTTTCCCTGTCTGGCGCTTGGGACTAAAACAAGGACTGATCGGCTCGGAGTCAGCATACTGTGTCTGAGTGGGGTATTCATGTTAAACTGCGACATGGTATCGCTGGGCTAGCACTATGAAACCGAAATTATTCGGGACAAGTACAAGCAGATACGCGCACGTAAAAATATGTTATTAAATTAGGGTTTTTTTGTTTTTCTGACGATTCAACGAAATTCAACTTAATTTTTTTAATGCGAACAGAATACACTTACACCTCGTTAGCTCGAAGACACCGGGTATCATAAAAAACGAGAGCGCCATCGTGGTCTAATGGTAGAGCGTCCGCCCGGAGAGCAGAAGGTCCTGGGTTCGATCCTCGGCCGCGTCATACCAAAATACGTAACGGTTAAAAGATGGTACTTGTTGATACCCTGTCTGACGCTCGGCATTAGGGGGCTAAAACAAGGACTGGTCGGTTCGGAGTCAGTATACTTTGTCTGAGTGGGGTATTAACTGCGGCGTGGTATCTCAGTGGGCCAGCACTATAAATCGGCATCAGTCCGGACTAGTACAAGCAGCCACACAAACACACACACGTACATGCAGGTCGCTATATAAGTGCAATAATCTTGGACGTGACGTTAAAACCAATTTCACCTCACCTCATAAAAACGCATCTAGTTACCCGTAGTTCAGCATAGTATCGACATTACAGTTATTACAAGTATTATCGATTTAAAAAATTGTCGGGACCATACGATGTTTCTGTTGAAATGATATGATGCGTTGAAGGAGTTGGCATCAAAGACTTGATCATAGGTGAACGGGTTCATTTAACTTTCTACAGTGATATTGTTCAAATGAAGCTGTCAACATGACAAACGTTTCCTCCAGATGGGAGTGACATGTTCTCCTTCATCGTGAGCACCTGGTGTCCGCTGTGTAGCCAGTGATTCACATTGCATGGTAGCACCCGCCCTGATGGGTAGAGCACAGGGCACTGCAGATCACGTATCTAGTGTTGACAGATATATTTACCTTGGATCAGGCGTAGCTCTGTGGATGGAACATGCTTACTGTAAATCCCCGGTTCAAAGATGGCTTTAGATGTAGCAGGTGTTTACATAGGTCACACATGCACGATTCGGGTTTAAAATTAGTTGCTTATATAAAAGACGTACCTCAAGCGCTTGCTTTGGATTAAATGACCTGGTAAAAGTAAGATGCTTTTAGTTGCAGGCATAGTTTATGTAAACGTTAAGTGTTTGACTTGGTCAGTGTATTCTTTGTGTATTTTCACGATCATCTGGTATCATGACTGTTTGATGGTGACTCCAATACGCATGATCATGGTATATACTGAACACAAAAAGTTACGGATCATGGAAAGTTTGTGAACCTTTATTAGTGTACAAATATCCCCAAGACTATTCATGATTCCTAACGTTTTTGTTCAGTACAGTTGGAATTGAAGAATGGATAACTCTTATAATTATGGAAAGCGTTTTGTCGCTTTTTTTATTTCAAAACGCGTACTTTGCTTATATTGTTTGCTTAAAATAGCAAAGTGTATCTATCATATGTCGAGTTCATCAATTTCAAGGGTAGCTTTTGAATCTAGAACGTGAGCATCTGCCCGTCTTAGGTCACACTAACATTTAAAGTTACCTCATTTAAAAGATATATCGATATGTCTACAAACAAAATAATCCGAATGTAGCCCAGAACAAAGCTTAATTTCAGAGCTGAGGCAATCTAGACTTGCCAAATGATCTAGACGTCAGTTGGATTAGTTTTTTAATTTATTCTCTTGGATCTAGGAGACAGGCTAGTCTGGTGTGCTCAGCGTGAAAACAACATTTTATAATCTGTATCATACTTTGATGGACTGGGGTCTTTTTTATCCGAGTCGACCATGAATGAACATGGCATATCTTCCTGGGAACACTGCACAGGTCTCTTGTTAAAGATCGCCACCGTGGTCTAGTGGATAGATCGTCCACCCGGGGAACGTAAGGTCGGTGGTTCGATTCCCTGGTCGCGTCATTCCGAGAGACGGTGGGCTCGGAGTCAGGATGCTTTGTCCGAGTTTGGTATCCATGTTAATCTGAATCGTGGTATTTCAGTTTCTCACACACACACACACACACACACACACACACACACACACACACACACACACACACACACACACACACACACACACACACACAGAAACACACACACAGAAACACACACACACACAGAAACACACACACACACAGAAACACACACAAGCCTGATTCTTGAGAGTTTTTGGACTACGTCCTGCCCACCATGAATTACAGGGTATTTTCGTTATATTACTTATATGGTGGATTATTGCTGACGTGGCGTTAAACAACATTCACTCATTGTCAATATTACCGTATCGAACGCATCACCCACTTGACTAGCATACACGTGAGGCACCAAGCACTTCAAAATGAAATAAAATAAGAATATTTGTTTATGACGTCTATAATCAATACAGTGTTAACGTTGTAAGGGTGTATATGTTAGCGTTTCGGTAGTTAACCTTATTCGGCCTACTATTCCCGGAGCAAAGCAAAGAAAGTACTCATTCATAGACTTTAAGTGCCATTAGAGAGGAGTACGTGGAAATGTGTTAATGGGGCGATTTACGGAATCCAAGTTGTGCTCGTTATTCTCTTTTTGTACCCCAGAACAGTATATGGTCTCAAACGGCAGGGTAGCTTTGTGGTTAAAGCGTTCACCTGTCACAGAGAGGACCCGGTTCGATTCCCACGTTGGTACAACGAGTGAATCTCATTCTTGTAGTCCTCCCGTCTGTGATATTTACGGAATGTTACAGCGGCGTAAAACTACAGTCAACTGGCTTCCACACTCGGACCGCCTCCGTGGTGTAGTGGCTACAGTGTCTACTCGGAGAGCGGAAGGTCGGCGGTTCGATCCCCGGCCGCGTCATACCACACGACGTTAAACGATGGTGCTTGTTGTTACCCTGCCTGACGCTCGGCACTGAGGGGACAAAACAAGGTATCCATGTTTGACTGCGACATGGCATCTCTGTGGGCCAGCACAATAGAACTAGCAGTAGTTCGAACAATTACAATCTCACACACACACACACACACACACACACACACACACACACACACACACACACACACACACACACACGTGCATGCACGCCGCTATATAACTGCAATAATTTTTACCATATTTCACCTAACCACTTTGGATAGCAGATACATCGTTATCGCCCAAAACCATCTTCCTGAGGAGGTATCGCTTGGAAAAGCTTGAATAATGCTTCTGGATGATAAAAATAAAATTTCGCCATCGCGGCTTCTGATATGAAACACATTAACACCAGCCGATACAAATTTAAAAGTTTATAATTCTTTATCGTCTCGTGTTGATATATTTGATATCTAAAGTAGGAGGGTAAAATTCTCTACGAACCCTACGCGGGTCATGGCGTCTCGGTGTCGCTTGTACGTGCTTAAAACGATCCGATAACCCAGACAGAGCCACGTGTTGCATTGATGGGACTCGTGAAGATCCGGGGTAGAATAGGTCTTCAGCAAGCCATGCTTGCCATAAAAGGCGACTAACGGGATCGGGTGGTCAGACTCGATGACTTGGTTGATGCATGTCATCGTATACCATTTGCGTGGATCGATGCTCATGATATCAAACACTGGATTGTCTGGTCCAGACTCGATTATTTACAGACCGCCGTCATATAGCTGGAATATTGCTGGGCGCGGCGTTAAACTACAAACAAACAAACAAACAAAGCCTTAATGGATGGAGCAGAAACAGATTGGTTACAGTTGTTGACCTGACGTGAGCAACCAGTCACTGTGACAAACTGTTACATCGACATTGGCTTCTTTTCAGTGGAATTGATACATTTCCAAAGTGCGTTTGTCTTGAATGCAATGCCTACATGAGCATGCTGTTAGCGAAGATAATCACGTTGAGATATATCTCCTGTATGTATCTCAAGCGCAACGGGCGATAACGCTGACAGGAAGGTTTTTTTTGGAACATAGTGATATTGAAAAAAGTCCAATCTTCTTTAAAGCAACGATCCATGCTTTACAGACTGAGAGAATGCACAAAGGTCGCATTGAAGCAAAGGGTTTAATTGTTCTTTCTAATTGTTTCAGAAATGGAGTCGGAGTGGCGTTATTCAGTGGAGCTGTCGGGACTGGCACGGGCTCGGAAGGAACAGACGTAGGTAGTAGATGTAATACTACCGTTATGTCTCAGCTGGGGTGTGTGATTGCTTGTACTTGTCCTACACATGTACGCGACAGAGACTTGCACCTGTATGAGAATCGTAACACGGAGCATCTTCCCGAGGCAAGGGAGTTAACTGACTGGAAAAGTCCAGTTTCCACGATTGGTGAACTTGGCTTGATTTATGGAGTTATATTTTGGCTGGACCAACGAGTCCATCAAAATCGCGTAACGAAATCGACATCCGCTTCGTAAACTGCCTGATTTGCAAAGCATGTGTACCGCCAACTCGGCGTCAACAGATATCTTTAAAAATCTTTTCATGTTTTCAACAAGGCGCTCTCGTGATTTCATGCACTTCGGAAAGTAAAACCCCTTTTATCACAATATAGATCTTGATTATCGATCAGACCGCCTTGACTAGGCGCGCCGCCATTTTGTTTGAAGTAAAGCAAGTGATATGAGAGGTGGAATCTGATTGGTCATTAGGAGGGACATAGAAGGCACATGACTCGAAATAGCCACTGGTGTCGCTACAAGCGAGCCCAGCCTAGTTCGACAAGGGTGGAAACTGGACTTTTACATTTTTAACTCTCTTGCCTTGGGAAGATGAACACAATGCAGAATAGCCCAGCCAAGGAAACAGCAGAACGCCCAACTTCCAACACGTTCAGTTAGACGGATTTGTGTAGATAATCTATGTTGTTGAGTGAGTGAGTGAGTTGGGGTTAACGCCGCTTTTAACAGTAGTACAGTTATATCGCGGCGTGTCAGCTTATTGTGGGAGGAAAGCCCGAAGTAATGCAGGTCTCAGACGTTTACCACTTCGGTGAAACCGACGAGCACGGGTATGGTGCTGACAAACCTAGAAACCTAATCGGGGCGAACCGGGATTCGAACCCACAATCATAGGTTTCTGGTGTGCCCAAGGACGCAACTCTGCACAGCGAATCGCGGCGCCTTAGACGACTGGGTCACCTGTGCCCTCTCTATGTTGTTGAACGGCACACCATTATATCTCGCCTCTGCTGGTATATATATATCCCCAGGCTGTGTCATTAACGTGTGTTGTCTAGTAGGCACTGATTAATTTACAGCCGTTCTCGTATTCAAATACCCGTGTTTTTACATTCTTCGTACACAAATGCCAAGTGACTTTGGAAGAATTCCACTCCTCTCAAGACATTTGTTCCTATACCGATTGGTTCGCTTCTACATAAATCTGGACTTTAAGAACCTGTAAGGTGAACACGAGAAGGTGAATTATTCATGGTGAGGTGAGGTGAAATGGGATCCGACAAGTCCTTGTTTTATCCCCTTATTACCGAGCGCCATGTCAGGATAAGAAGTACCATCGTTTAACGTCTTTTGGTATGACACGTTTGATTTTGACGCTGTTCATAGTGGTGTGCACCTAACATAGAAATACAAAGTTCCGAATCCCAAGTCCATGGTGTTGTTTTGATAGCTCAATAACTGCTCTTGTATACGGACACGCAGATGAGATAGAAATTCTCTCATCAAGTTGGACTTAAATTACCAGTCAGATGATTCGTTCTTTCAAATTTGTGGGGTCAGGGGGATTTGTCATCTTCCGATGACTCTTGTTATATTTTATTATGATAATTTTAAAACTATTTCTTGTATAAATTTCAGAGACGAGATGTTAGTAATTATTTGTTTTGTTGCATTTTCGTTGACAGATCCTTCCCAGGACCAGAAGCAATGTAATTAGTTTCGTCTGTCTTGTTTCAGCTGAATGAGATAACAGACCCATTCCACCTCTTCAAGGCTCGTGAACCAGTTGCTACTTACAATCAGAAAAATATCTGCAGCAGCAATGTATTTAGAACAATGTGTAGCTGATACGTTGAGTCTGTGAAATATCTTTTTTTTAAATAAATTCTTTCTGCTTTTCGTGAAAAGGAATATCAAAATAGAACCTTCAGTAAGTATGGGAGCCTGTGCGTTCCAGTCCCCACATCGCTGCGCAGAGTTGCATTCCGTATAGCTGTCAGGATCCGCTGGTCTCGGGTTCGATTCTAAGATTCGCCCCTGGTCTGTCAGCACCTTATCCACACTTGCAGGTCTCACGTACTGGTACCCATCTACGACCTGCATCACTTTAGGCCCCATCAGGCCGTCAATCCGTCATCTTGATGAACTAGATTTCAAAGCAAGTGTTAAACCGGCTAAAGCACTGAATTCAAACATATTGTTTATTCATGGCAAACTGAGAGGTCTTAGACCCATAGTTCAACATAATTAAACTAAAGCTCTCACACTTAAATGTTTTCTATTCCTGATCATGTCAGAGGCGCTTATCATCCACACGACAGACATGAAGACGCCAGTGTTTAGAACGAATGGAGCGAGATATCTCTATATTTGTCGTCATTAGATATATTTCTTCATTGGATATACAAATTTCCATTTTCCTGAAAACAAGAACTGTATATCTGAGTATGCTAGAATACCCGCATTCCTTGCAGAATGTCTTCATGTGTAAGGCGACTGAAGACCTCAGAATGGGACCGTATACAGTGAAACCTGGTTAACTCGAATTCCTTGAACATATTGTTTAAACAATTTAATTATCCGCACTACGCTTGTCTCTAGGACTTCGAGTAAACAAGACTTCACTGTATATTAAAGTGCCGGAATAAACACCGTACTCTTTACGCTATAGTAAAGCCACAATCGTTGTTTAGTATTTTTGTTATTTTCCCCAAATCTTCTATTTCTATACTTGCTTTACAGTTATGGATGCAATGAACGTTCATCTGTTGTTGTTTTAATGTTCTTGTTTGTTGCGTCGTTTTGTCTGTTAAAGTTTTGTGTTTCTAAAGTGATGCCCCTTTGACAAGCTCAATATATGTTTCGTTGTCAAAAAGTATAATACGAGTAATATATACATATATATATTATTTATTTCATATCAATTTCGACTTTGTTCTTCCAGATGATCATGAGGTAACGAATGTTGTTTCATTTCTTATACAACTAATCCCTGAAATATTATCAAGTTTATGTTCGTAGTGTCATCATAACGTGTACAATTGACATGACATAATCTGATTTGCTGAACAGACAAAAGTTCGTGAAGTGCATGTTTATATGAGTTGATGAAAAAATACAATGACACCTCGTTAATTTGAATCCCTTTAATCCGAAACATCATTTAAAACGACGTGACTTCATATCTACGGAATCGTGGATAATGTGGTATAATACTCTTTGTTTATCTCGAAATAATCTTAAATAATAATATGTGCTATCTTATTGACAACTGTTTCGAACTACGGTACCTGTTTTCGTTGGTTCCAGAACTTTAAATGAACGGGGATTTATTGAATTTAGTGTTTTGAAATGTATTGGTATGTTTTTATGCATTTACTTTATGAAACATAATTTAGATATAATTGCCAAATATGAAGGATATTTGAAAATGTAGAGCAGTAGGTTGTAACTGTAAGAACAGGAAGTTAACAATCTACATTGTCGTTTATAGCCACCATGTATATAATGTACATTTGATATGTAAATATTTGTATATCGTTCTTTTTACTGCAAATTGCAGGTTGAATTGCATTTATTATATCTATCTAATTTTTTTACTGGGGCCAGCCACCCAAAAGTCCACCTCTCCTTTCATAAATGTGAAAGTGCTAATACGTGTGCCCCTCTGACGTCATCTCTTTTGTTGTGTACGTCAGCTGTTAACTCAGTTACAATCTCATACAGTATTATAGGAACTGAGTGTGAGTAAGTCTTGTTATGAAATGAAAAAAACACACTTTGAAAAGCGGTATTTTGAATGAAATCTATGTGTTCCCAGTCAATGAGGGACCGGTCAATATAATCTGGTCGAAGGTGTTTTTTTGCTGGGATGGTATTTCAGTTCTAACATATTATAAAATTGCATGGTTTCCTTAAAACACTGACCCAGTATCAACAAAAGTTTCTGATGAGTTAAAAATCAAAAATATTTGTCAACGACGAAAAAAATAAATGATCGGTCCCTCGGGTAGGACCGGGGTTCAATAACGCCTGAAGCATGTATATGTGCAGCAGATGTTCTGGTTCCCTTTAAAGAAGACATAGCAACACGCAACCCGACACTGGCTGAAATATTCCGACTGGGAGTCCAACATGACAGACTCACACCCAGCGTTCATTAATTAGATGTCCTAATACTCCATCTCACTCTTTCTATTTGTACAGCACTTTACAATAAACTGTTCAAGAAAACATCTTGTCAATCAGTTTCCAAGGTCTTGTCTTTGTATAGCTACCGGATGCTGGTAGAGGCTCGACACACTCACAATAGAGAAGTCGCGACGTTACAGAAAATTGACATCTAAAGAATACGTACCGTATATTCCCCAACTGATACTTAGGCTACACAACATGCAGAGTAAGTGAGGTTTTACATCACATTCAGCAATATTCCAGCTGTTCGGTGACACCATTCAAGGGGTTGACGCATTCTATCTTGTTGAGACTCGAACCCGGACCTTGGATGTGACGAGGTAACGCTTTAATCACTAGCCTATTCCGTCGCCCGAGAAAGGTTCGTTCGTTGGTTCGTTTGTTGTTTAACGCCGCACTCAGCAGTATTCCAGCTATATGACAGCGGTCTGTAAATAATCGAGTCTGGACCAGACAATCCAGTGATTAATATCATGAACATCGATCCACGCAATTGGGATCGATGACATGTATCAACCAAGTCAGCGAGCTTGACCACCCGATTCCGTTAGTCGCCTTTTACGGCAAGTATGGGTTGCTGAAGACCTATTCTACCCCGGGATCTTCACGGGTCTCCCGAGAAAGGGTTGAGTACTACAGTGAGATGAGGGGATCAATAACGCCGAAGTCCAGAGCCTTAATAATCGAGTCGTGACAATCCAGTGATTCATTGCATAAGCACGATGACACACACTCAGCCCGGCCGAGTGACCGCCCAACGTCCATTGTAGGCGACGACCGCCTCCGTGGTCTAGTGGTAGAGCGTCCGCCCGGAGGTCCGGGGTTCGATCCCCGGCCGCGTCATACCAAAAGACGTTAAAAGATGGTACTTGTTGTTACTCTGTCTGGCGCTCGGCATTAAGGGGCTAAAACAAGGACTGGTCGGCTCGGAGTCAGTATACTGTGTCTGAGTGGGGTATTCATGTTGAACTGCGGCATGGTTTCACAGTAGGGCCCTCTATAAATCGGCATCAGTCCGGACTAGTACAACGAGCCACACACATGCATGCAATACAAGTGCAATAATCTTGGGAGCGACGTTAAACCCCATTTCTCCTGTAGTCGACACGCAAGGGTGCTGGGGACGTACTCTGTCCAGGAATTCCCCTGGGGAGGCAAGAGGTGGATCAGGCGAGGTGAAATGACTTTAATGTCGCGTCCTAGATTATTACACTTATATAGCGACGTGTAGGTGTTGGTATGATCAAGCCACCGACCTTCCGTTCTCCAGGCTGACGCTCTATCCACTAGATCACGGAGGCGGTCGGACGTCAGAGACATGAATGAATAAATGAATGAATGAATGAATGAATGAATATATACAATAACGTGGGTATGTGTTAAGGATGTCGTCACTTCAACAACAGTAGCTCCACAAACTATGACGATATATGAACAATTATGTTTGCGAAACTAAATTTTAAAATGTAAAAACGTCTTGGCACTTGAGAGAGAGTGAATGTTTTAACGCCACACCCAGAAATAGTTTAGCTACATCACGGCGGCCTCTAAATACTCTAAATATGCCGATTTATAGTGCTAGCTCACTGACATACCATGCCGCAGTTTAACATGAATACTCCACTGAGACACAGTATACTGACTCCGAGCCCACAAGTCCTTGTTTTAGTCCCTTAATGCCGAGCACCAGACAGGGTAACAACAAGTACCATCTTTTAACGTCTTTTGGTACGACGCGGCCGGGGATCGAACCCCGGACCTTTCGCTCTCCGGGCGGACGCTCTACCATTAGACCACGGAGGCGGTCACGAGTCAGGACACGATGACATGCAATTAACCAAGTCACCGAGCTACCACCTGATTTAGTCACCAAGTTAGTCAGCTCATACGACCAGCTGGAAAGGCCTTGGATACCGTTAGCTTGGGGGACAAGATGTCTCCCTAGTGACAAGCTATTCGGCGGTAAAGGAGAGCAGCGCTCTGATTGGTTGTGTTGGTTAAACGGTATTCATAACCACAACGCTGACACGTTTAAATAATATTTAGAGTGAGTGAGTGAGTATGGTTTTACGCCGCTTTTAGCAATATTCCAGCAACATCACGGCGGGGGACGCCAGAAAATAATATTTAGAACAAAATTGATGAGGTCATCATGACAGTCTGACATCCGGTGTGCGCGCACCGACCAAAGCTTCCCGTCCTACTGTAAAACTTGTTTTTCAGTGGCTTCACAGTACATTGGTGAATAAGAAATTAATGATTAATAATAATAGATTAAGAGCTACTATCACATGACTCAGGGCATTACTCGGGGATGTTCATGTTCTTTGTACAGTGAAACCTCGATAGACAGGACCCCGTTAAACCGGAAATGACACGGTTTATACGAATACTAGGTGACATATTGAAAACACGGTTGATTATGCGCATTAACAGGTTTTCACTGTATATTCCAAAGAAGTAAGTGGTAAATAGCTTTCCTTCTTCGTCAAACCCAAAAAAACGCGAAAAGATGGTACTTCTTGTTACTCTGCCTGGAGTATGCACCTAGCTATTTAAGAGCAATAATCTTTCAACTCGACGTTGAAACCCCAATTCACCTCACCTTTCACGTCATGCTGACACGTAGGGATATTACTGAAATTTATTTAAATCAAAGCGGCGTAAAATCAAACACGCTCACTCACTCTCCGAACACCGGTTTGTGATGGTAATATTCCCACGATCTATGCTGAAATGTATCCCCAGTTGCCCAGTCTCCGCCGCTGCCAGATTTCAGCAATCGGTCCTAATTTCATCAAGATCAAGCAAGAGAGTTTTTATAACCCAAGAATGCCTCTAACAATCTTCACTACTGAAACACTCTAAAGGATGAAGACGAAAGCTTTCTACACGAAATAGCTATGTTTGGATGCTATAACATTGAACAGATGTTTCGTATTAAAGACTGCTGCTTGCACCATCTGTTCCGCTGAACTTCAGTGATTGGAGAACGTTTCGTTTAATTACTGTGACCGGATGGCGTTTAATGTGGCCCATTTTCATAACTGCGTTAAATGTTTGATAATGGTAATTATCATATACAGGGAAACATTAGTGGACTCAATTTACTCTCGCAATAATGTCCTTGACGCGAAAGAGGGAAACGTTTATATTTGAAATACGTAGATATTGCGGTCATATGTATTTTGAAAAACGAATTAATGAGAATTTCCGAAATTCACGACCTTGACAAAACATGACACAAGTATGACACGCGATGATGGATCTCCGTTTCAACGAAACCAAATGAGTTTTGTTCATGTTTTTACGACATTCCTACATTGTGGAGTGTTCTATGACTGAATACATTGCCAGATCGTAGCTGGTGTCGAATATCGTTTTGAAAAGAATTATTGTATGGCGGAAATATTTTGGTGTCAAAATCCGCCTGCAGCAGACGAAGAGTACAGAGGCCTCAATGACCTCAGTGACCTCAATAAAGATGTGGTTGTTAAACAACCGCTAACGAGACGTCCTGCTTGACACCCAATCCTCATTTTACCCATTGGACACCCAAACAACATTTCACCGTGGTGGACACCCAATCAACATCTGACCCACTGGACACCCAATCAACACCTGACCGTGCTGAACACCCAAACAACATCTGACCCACTGGACACCCAAATAACATCTGACCCACTGGACACCCAATCAACACCTGACCGTGCTGAACACTCAAACAACATCTTACCGTGCTGGACACCCAATGAACATCTGACCCACTGGACGTCCATTCAACATCTGACCCGCTGGACGTCCAATCAACATCTGACCGTGCTGGACACCCAAACAACATCAGACCCGCTGGACACCCAATCAACATCTGACCCGCTGGACACCCAATCAACATCTGACCCACTGAACGTCCAATCAACATCTGACCCGCTGGACGTCCAATCAACATCTGACCCGCTGGACACCCAATCAACATCTGACCCGCTGGACACCCAATCAACATCTGACCCGCTGGACACCCAATCAATATCTGCCTGTGCTGGACACCCAATCAACATCTGACCCGCTGGACACCCAATCAACATTTGACCGTGTTGGACACCCACTGAACGTCTGACCCGGTGGACACACAGTCAATATCTTAGTCGCTTCAAACTCCTGTTAAACACGTTCCTCTTTTATTCCTAAATGAACTGGATTGTAGCAAGCTCATTTTGTTGGCATCGTTTGGTTTGCCTGGAGAATTAGTTTGGCAGTAAAACCAAGGTTAAGTTAACCTTACAAAACAAACAACTTTCCCTGATACAGTTACAAACATGATTATCCTGTTATCAATATCCGTTGTAGGAATTATATTTTCAATTACAGAATGAAGAAACGCAGGAAAGCCAAAAGGATTCAACACTATCTGATCTCAAAGTGTTAAGCTGCAGTTATTAAATTATCTGCTTGTTGGTTTTTAAAATTCTGGTGAGATTGCCAGGCCTTGATACCGACTACTTCCGTACACTGCGTGTGTCCATATAGCATGAGGAACTGCATTCAGCAAGAACAAAATTATGTTTTAAAAAAGATAACTCTTTAGCCTTCGTGCCATCATCAACGCGCCATAATCATTGTGCCACATCATTGTGTCACCGTCATTGTGCCACATCATTGTGCCACCGTCATTGTGCCACGTCATTGTACCACCGTCATTGTGCCACCATCACTGTGCCACCATCATTGTGACACATCATTGTGACACCATCATTGTGACACATCATTGTCACCGTCATTGTGCCACATCATTGTGCCACATCATTGTGCCACCATCATTGTGCTACCATCATTGTGCCACCAACATTGTGCCACCATCACTGTGCCACCATCATTGTGACACATCATTGTGCCACCATCACTGTGCCACCATCATTGTGCCACCATCATTGTGACACATCATTGTGCCACCATCACTGTGCCACCATCATTGTGTCACCACCATTGTGCCACCATCACTGTGCCACCATCATTGTGACACATCATTGTGCCACCATCATTGTTACACATCATTGTGTCACCGTCATTGTGCCACATCATTGTGCCACCATCATTTTGCCACATCATTGTGTCACCGTCATTGTACCACCGTCATTGTGCCACATCATTGTGTCATCGTCATTCTGTCACCGTCATTGAACCACCGTCATTGTGCCACCACCATCGTGTTAGCATCATTGTGCCACCATCATTGTGCCATCATCATTGTGTCACCATCATTGTGCCATCATCATTGTACCACATCAATGTGCCACCATCACTGTGCCACAATTAGTGTGTCACCATCACTGTGCCACCATCATTGTTCCACCATCACTGTGCCACCATCATTGTGTCACCATCACTGTGCCACCATCATTGTTCCACCATCACTGTGCCACCATCATTGTGTCACCATCACTGTGCCACCATCATTGTTCCACCATCACTGTGCCACCATCATTGTGTCACCATTAATGTGCCACCATCATTGTGTCACCATCACTGTGCCATCATCATTGTGTCACCATCACTGTGCCACCATCATTGTGTCACCATCACTGTGACATCATCATTGTTCCACCATCACTGTGCCACAATCATTGTCACCATCACTGTGCCACCATCATTGTGTCATTATCATTCTGCCATCATCATCGTGCTACCATCAGTGTGCCACCATCATCGTGTCAGCATCATTGTGCCACCATCATTGAGCCACCATCATTGTGCCACCATCACTGTGTCACCATCATTGTGCCACCATCATAGTGTTACCATCATTGTGCCACCATCATTGTGCCACCATAATTGTGCCAACATCATCGTGTCACCATCATTGTGTCACCATCACTGTGTCACCATCATTGTGCCACCATCATTGTGCCACCATCACTGTGCCACCATCATTGTGCCACCATCATTGTGTCACCATCATTGTGTCACCATCATTGTGCCACCATCACTGTGTCACCATCATTGTGCAACCATCATTGTGTCACCATCATTGTGCCACCATCATTGTACCACCATCATTGTGCCACCATAATTGTGCCAACATCATCGTGTCACCATCACTGTGAAACATCATTGTGCCACCATCATTGAGCCACCATCATTGTGCCACCATCATTGTGCCACCATCATTGAGCCACCATCATTGTGTCACCATCACTGTGCCATCATCATTGTTCCACCATCACTGTGCCACCATCATTGTGTCACCATCACTGTGCCATCATCATTGTTCCACCATCACTGTGCCACAATCATTGTCACCATCACTGTGCCACCATCATTGTGTCATTATCATTGTGCCACCATCATTGTACCACCATCATTCTGCCACCATCATTGTGCCAACATCAACGTGCCACCATTACTGTGTCACAATCATTGTGCCACCATCACCATCACTGTCCAGTCAACCTACACCACCACGCACAACGCCACCTGCAACACAACCTATATGTAATTTCGTACGACTCGATGGATTTTCGATACGCCCAACTAATAAAAAGATCGATTACCAACTCTTCTTTAACTCTTTGAAGAGAGAGAGTAAGGTTTTACGCCGATTTTTTGCAATATTCCAGCAATATCACAGCGAGGGACACCAGAAATGGGCTTCACACATTGTACCGATGTGAGGAATCGAACCCGACGAGCGAACGCTTTAGCCACGAGACTACCCCACCGCCCCTTTAACACAATTAAAGCAGTGGTGTTCAAGGAGGTTTCAACGTCGGTACATGCACCAACGTTACTACTTCCTCAACATCGAGGGGCGGTGGGGTGACCACGTGGTTGAAGCCCATTTCTAGTGTCCCCCGCCGCGATGTTGCTGGAATATTGATAAAAGCGGCGTGAAACCATTCTCACTCACTCTTCAACATTCACATCATCATCGGGGGCACGGCTGGCCCAGTCGTCTAAGGCGCGCGATTCTCTGTGCAAAGTTGCGTCCCTTGGGCACGCCAGAAACCTATGATTGAGGGTTCGAATCCCGGTTCGCCCCGATTATGTTTCTAGGTTTGTCAGCTCCATACCCGTGCTCGTGGGTTTCACCGCAGTGGTAAACGTCCGAGACATGCATCACTTCGGGCTTTCCTCCCACATTAAGCTGGCACGCCGTGATATAACTGGAATAATGTTAAAAGTGGCGTTAAACCCAACTCACTCACTCACATCATAATCAGCTTATGTGATTGAGATCTGATGGTAACATATTAAAACAGTTGCTAATACGTTGTGGGTGTCACTCTTTTAAACTCAAACTCTAACTAATTGTACAAAATATTTACTGCAAATGATCAATGAATAAAATATGTAAAATCAATCACACAGCATGTTTTAGAATGGATCTGATTTTAAACAGTTTCAAATTTCTTTCTCGCCGGTTAACGGCGTATGTGAAAACTCTCTGCAGCGACGCCATGATGCTAATTACTATACAGATGCCACTTGTACGTGCTGAGTCAGAGCTTACAACCAAAGGTTATTGCACTTGCTGTGAAACATTGCAAAAAACACACAGTGCGGAACGACATCTTGAAATCGACACACTTTTCAAGTCCGTTGGAATGGGACGGTTTTAACACATGGCCGTATGCTGGTGGTTTCATTTGTAATCGACAAATCTACAAACAGGCATTTTCCGGACAGACAAATAACAGAGTAGCTTGTGCATACATAACATACGCTGCCTCATCACAAGATATTGCATCAGCAGGATGTGCCCGGGTGCCCGGGGCTCATGATTGAGTCGGTTGGTGCTGAAATGCAATGATGTATCAACCGTGAGGGACTTCAGTAAATTCACCATTAGGTCTATACCCACAGGCACATGGTGAAAATTGTGCACCTTGCAAATTATATAGTTTTTCATATTCTCTAAAAAATAATCACAATGATGGTGGCAGGATGACGATGACGCAATGATGGAGCCACAATGACGGTGGCACAATGATGGTGGCACAATGACGGTGGCACAATGGTGGTGACACAATGATGGTGGCACAATGGTGGTGGCACAATAATGGAGGAACAGTGATGGTGGCACAGTGGTGGTGGCACAATGACGGTGGCACAATGATGGTCAAATAGCGATGTGGCACAATGACGGTGGCACAACGGTGGTGGCACAATGGTGGTGACACAATGATGGAGCCACAATGATGGTGGCACAATAATGGTGGCACAATGATGGAGGAACAGTGATGGTGGAACAGTGATGGTGGCACAGTGGTGGTGGCACAATGACGGTGGCACAATGATGGTCAAATAGCGATGGTGGCACAATGGTGGTGACACAATGATGGTGACACAATGATGGTGGCACAATGATGGAGGAACAGTGATGGTGGCAAAGTGGTGGTGGCACAATGACGGTGGCACAATGATGGTCAAATAGCGATGGTGGCACAATGATTGTGACACAATGATGGTGGCACAATGATGGTGACACAATGATGGTGGCGCAATGGTGGTGACACAATGATGGAGCCACAATGATGGTGGCACAATGGTGGTGGCACAATGGTGGAGGAACAGTGATGGTGGCACAGTGGTGGTGGCACAATGATGGTGGCACAATGATGGTGACACAAAGGTGGTGGCACAATGGTGGTGACACAATAATGGTGGCACAATGGTGGTGACACAATGATGGAGCCACAATGATGGTGGCACAATGGTGGTGACACAATGATGGTGGCACAATGACGGTGGCACAATGATGGTGACACAATGATGGTGGCACAATGGTGGTGACACAATGGTGGTGACACAATGACGGTGGCACAATGGTGGTGACACAACGGTGGTGGCACAATGGTGGTGGCACAATGATGGTCAAATAGCGATGTGGCACAATGATGGTGGCACAATGGTGGTGGCACAATGGTGGTGACATAATGATGGTGACACAACGGTGGTGGCACAATGGTGGTGGCACAATGGTGGTCAAATAGCGATGTGGCACAATGATGGTGGCACAATGGTGGTGGCACAATGATGGTGACACAATGATGGTGACACAATGATGGTGGCACAATGGTGGTGACACAATGATGGAGCCACAATGATGGTGGCACAATGGTGGTGGCACAATGGTGGAGGAACAGTGATGGTGGCACAGTGGTGGTGGCACAATGATGGTGGCACAATGATGGTGACACAAAGGTGGTGGCACAATGGTGGTGACACAATAATGGTGGCACAATGGTTGTGACGCAATGATGGAGCCACAATGATGGTGGCACAATGGTGGTGACACAATGATGGTGGCACAATGACGGTGGCACAATGGTGGTGACGCAATGATGGAGCCACAATGACGGTGGCACAATGGTGGTGACACAATGATGGAGCCACAATGATGGTGGCACAATGGTGGTGGCACAATGGTGGAGGAACAGTGATGGTGGCAAAGTGGTGTGGCACAATGACGGTGGCACAATGATGGTGGCACAATGGTGGTGGCACAATGATGGTGGCACAATGATGGTGGCACATTGGTGGTGGCACAATGGTGGTGACACAATGATGTGGCACAATGATGGAGGAACAGTGATGGTGGCACATTGGTGGTGGCACAATGATGGTCAAATAGAGATGGTGGCACAATGATGGTGGCACAATGGTGGTGGCACAATAATGGTGGCACATTGGTGGTGGCACAATGATGGTGACACAATGTTGGTGGCACAATGATGGAGGAACAGTGATGGTGGCACAATGACGGTGGCATGTTGGTGGGAGCACAATGATGGTGGCACAATGATAGTGGCACAATGATGGTGGCACAATGATTGTCAAACAGCGATGGTGGCACACTGATGGTGGCACAATGATGGAGGAACAGTGATAGTGGCACAATGGTGGTGGCACAATATTTTGGGGCACAATAATGGGGGCACAATGATGGAGGCACATTGGTGGTGACACGATGGTGGTGACACAATGATGGTGGAACAATGGTGGTGGCACAATGGTGGTGACACAATGACGGTGACACAATGATGGTGACACAATGATGGTGGCACAATGGTGGAGGAACAGTGATGGTGGCACAGTGGTAGTGACACAATGATGGTTGCACAATGGTGGTGACACAATGATGGTGGCACAATGGTGGTGGCACAATGATGGTGACTCAATGATGGTGGCACAATGATGGTGGCACAATGGTGAAGACACAATGATGGTGACACAATGATGGTGGCACAATGGTGGTGGCACAATGATGGTGACACAATGATGGTGGCACAATGATGGTGGCACAATGATGGTGACACAATGATGGTGGCACAATGGTGGATGAACAATGATGGTGGCACAATGGTGGTGACACAATGATGGTGGCACAATGATGGTGACACAATGATGGTGACTCAATGATGGTGGCACAATGATGGTGGCACAATGGTGAAGACACAATGATGGTGGCACAATGGTGGTGACACAATGGTGGTGGCACAATGATGGTGGCACAATGGTGATGGCACAATGGTGGAGGAACAGTGATGGTTGCACAATGGTAGTGACACAATGATGGTGGCACAATGGTGGTGGCACAATGATGGTGGCACAATGGTGAAGACACAATGATGGTGGCACAATGGTGGTGACACAATGATGGTGGCACAATGGTGGTGACACAATGATGGTGACACTATGATGGTGACACTATGATGGTGACACAGTGATGGTGACACAATGATGGTGACACTATGATGGTGATACTATGATGGTGGCACAACGATGGTGGCACTTCACGTTGAGTGTTCGGTTTCAAATTCAATTTAGCGCAGTTAAATCTACGGGTGAGCTCGCTCTACATTGAAAACACACAATGTTTATCACTTACAGTGAGTAGGGTTTAATGCCGCTTTCTGCAGTATTTAAGTTATATCAGCATGTCAACTAACTGTTTGAGGAAGCCAAACATGATGAAACCCACGAGCACGGATGTGGTACTGACAAACCTAGAAACATTATCAGGGCTAACAGGGATTCGAATCATAGGTTTCTGGGGCGTCAAAGGCCCACAACTCTGCAAAGTGATTTGAGTGCCTTAGACTACTTGGCCACCCGTCCCCTGTATTCTATATAAGTGTCAGTCCAAAATCAATCGTGAAGTAAATGTATGCTGAATACATGACACTTTTTCTATGGATAGCAACTTCTTTTTTTCTTTGTACGACGTTTCAGAGCTACTTCTTGCTCCTTCGCCAGGTTCAATTCCCCACATGGGTACAGTGTGTGAAGCCCATTTGTGGTGTCCCCGCCGTGAGCTTGCTGGAATATTACTAAAAGCGGCGTAAAGCTCATTCACTCACTCATTCATCGGGTGTAGTGATGTTCCCTTTGAAGTATAACCACATATGTATCCACTGTGCTAGCCTTGCTCCAAGGCTGTACTGAAAGATAAGTCCACGGATGTGTTGTAATTCTATCCTCCTAATAGGCAAGTCTAGCTATGTGGACAGTACGGTCTTTTATAGGGACAACGTGTTCTTATTAGTTACATAATCTAGAAATTTTTTAAACTAATAATTATTCCCTAGGAGACTTGTGCAAGGCTACCAATGTGCCAGTCCGCGGAGATCACCGATTGTGGAATCAAAAGTGATGGCCCTTGACAATCCACTATGAGAAAGGTCGCTTTATCGGAAAGGTCGGTTTATCAGACAAGCGCCCTTGCTGCAAGTTAATATGCAGAACACAGAAAAGCCATAAAACTGTCTCGAGCAGTGGGTGTCAGCGCCGTTTCGCTTGACGATCAGTTATACCAGGCATCGACAGGCTCCTGATTCAGCAGCAGACTAGGGGGCGACCAATTAAGGAATTCAACCTTCATAACCCTCATTTGTGGTTCATGTTTCCCCACGTGTCAGTTGTTACCAGTGAGATTAGTGAAAGTTTTTTGGTTGGTTTTTTTTTTTGTGTGTGTGTGTGGGGGGGGGGGGGGGGGGGGGGAGTTCTTCAAGGGTATCGGCACCGGTAAGTTTAGTTCGTCACCAGATATACTGAAGAACAAAAGAAACGCTCAGGTGACTTTATTACATGTTTGATTTTCAATTTAAAATATTTTATTTTAGCGATATTATATCCGAAAAATGAACTGTACTGGAGATAAGTCAACACTCAAAGAATATTTCTACATGGTATTTTTGTGTAATTTGATTCGAGACTTATAAAAAATTAAAATATTTTCCGCATAATACGCAACTGCTGAGTAGATTCGTCGTCTCATCTTTGAAAAAATCAATTTCATACATTTCAAACATGGTAGTTGTCATGTAGTTGCAAATTCATTTCTTACCCCAGTCTTCAATGAACCAATTTATTTTTTCAGAATTACCCAGCCACAGATTCCTTTAACAAACCGTTGCAGGAATGAGTGACTGTTAAATAGACATAATCAAATTCAACAACAGTTCTTTCAATTTTCAGTTACGTAAAAAACAAACTCGGCATTCATGTACTTTCTTTTGCCCCTCAGTTTATGATACTTCCTAGTTCTCATGACGGCATGTACAATTCCGTGTCGGTGTATCAATCATTGGCTGTTTGCATGCAACGCAGGTTAAAAATATATTGTTATTTCACACTTTCCCTTTCAAAACTGACTCAGTAGGGAGGAAAATTTGTTGTATTATTATATTTCTTAAGGTGGTTGAAAATATGTGGAAGTAAAATTGAATCTGTTGTACAATGTGACCTTTTTTTATAACCACGAAGGGGCGGGCCCGAGGTGATTGGAACAATGGCTAGGCTCCCTTGCGAATTCCATACACTATTGCATGGGGCGTGCAAAAAATCGGAATTAGGTGCAAAAACGAACATGGGTGTATACTTTCTTTTGCCTGGCTGTTTATTTACTCTTTAAATATAACATACGGTTTCCATAAATGTAGCTTGATATTTCTATGAATATGGAATATATTTTTAGCAAAAGAGGTGTTAGCATTCAACGGATTTTGATTTTTGTAAACAACTAATTTAGGTTCGGGCGGTGAGAAAGAACTTTTTATTCGGATTAATCTGTGAGTTATCTTCTTCAGTTGTCGGATCCTGAGTAAACATGAACGCGCTAAGTGTCCCGGTACGTGTAGATGTTTACGTGTGGTGACGCGGGAGGGGGATAAATTGTGAATGTTTGCAACACTGACGGACAACTGTCATCATTCTGTCGAAAAAGTCTCAAACATTCGTTCATAGCGGTGTTTAAAGTATTTGAACAGTTCTGTAAACATCGACTAATTCCTTAAGACCTCTATAAATCTCAAAAGTCATTTTCCTGAATTAATCCGTGCTTACGTGCCCAACTAACAAACAACGTCATTCATCTAAAAAATCCCGGGGGGGGGGGGGGGGGGAGGAGGAGAAGAGGGGGGCATAAAACAGAACCAAACAAACATTCACGAACGAAACAGACTATTGTAAATGAAGAACATGAGTTCAGGGTATAACTATGTCTCGGTATTTTAAGCTTTTATATGTTATGACTGTTTCCATTTTTGAAAAATCTCAAAATGGCAAGAGGCAACCCTATTTGAAGATCGGTGACCTCCATCATTCCTTGTTTTAATCATTTATTTGTTTGTTTGTTTGTTTGTTTAACGCCGCACTCAGCAATATTTCAGCTATATGACGGCGGTCTGTAAATAATCGAGGCTGTCTCAGGTATGAGATATAGGTCCATCTGACGGTTCTCACTTATCATGTCCTTATCTTGTGGTGAAGTTCGCTGCATAAGAAAACTAAATATTTCATCAATTGCATAATGTAAGTTTTGGTTTCAGTCCAATATTTATGTAAGTTAGAACATGAGGCTATAAATATTGTCGTATAGTTCAGCTCTTTAAAAGGTTTAGAGAAGCACATTAAGGTTCAACACACTGTTTA